TTCACTCCCCAAGTGCCACAATACTAGGCAGTAGCCAAGCTGAAGCCAGAGCCAGGAGCTTCCTGCCAGGTCTCCCACGTGGGTGCAGGGGCTCAAGCGCTTGGGCTGTCTCCTGCTGCTTTCGCAGGCCCGCTCACAGAGAGCTGGATGAGAAGAGGAGCAGGCGTGACTCCAGACTGGAGACGGCCCGCCAGACCAATCCCACCCTCGAGCCCACAGAGGCGCGCACACGAGCGAGTGGAGCAGGCTCAGTTTTATTCCGCGCCTTGGCGGGTGGGGACAGCAGTCGGGGGAAGGGTATCGGGGGCGGGGCGGCTCAGCAGGGCATCCAGCATCTCTTCGCACATGGCTAGGCACCGTGGCACGTGGAAGCAGCCTGCGTGGAAAGGAAGGTGGGTACGTTGGTAGGGCAGAAGGTGAAGTGGGTGCCACGAGCCCCTGCAGACCCGCCACTGTCCCCCACTCACCTTTGAAAGGACCCCCTTTGATGGTAAGGGCGACCTTTCCATCTTGGTTCAGGTAGCCAAACCATTCTCCGTACTCCGGATCGCGAAACTGGAATAGAGATGCTGACAGCTAGCGCCTGCTGGATCCGCCCACATGCCAACGCCATCACACCACTCCAGACCTGCACTCTGAACCTCGACACCGCGTCCAGGACAAAGATGCAAGCTGGGCTGGGGGAGGCAGCAAGCCATGCAACGAGACGCCGTGAGATGGGATAGAAAGAATCGTCCTGGGAACGATAAGTGAGGTCTACATCCTCACCGTGGCGTTGGTTACCCAGGTGTATACATTGTCACAACTCGTTGAACGGAAATCATCTTAGTGTATTTAAATGACTTTGTTGCAATTAAATATTGCTGGAGGGTTTCCCTGCCTTGACACTTTTTTTTTTTTAACAGGCAGAGTGGACAGTGACAGTGAGAGAGACAGAGAGAAAGGTCTTCCTTTGCCGTTGGTTCACCCTCCAATGGCCGCCGCGGCCAGCGCGCTGCGGCCAGCGCACCGTGATGATCCGATGGCAGGAGCCAGGTGCTTCTCCTGGTCTCCCATGGGGTGCAGGGCCCAAGCACTTGGGCCATCCTCCACTGCACTCCCTGGCCACAGCAGAGAGCTGGCATGCAAGAGGGGCAACCGGGACAGAATCCGGTGCCCCGACCGGGACTAGAACCCAGTGTGCTGGCGCCACAAGGCAGAGGATTAGCCTAGTGAGCCGCGGCGGCCCTTGACACTTTTTAAGGAATGACTTCCCTGGAGTTACTGTGTCTGGCACATCCCGCACATTAGACCCCTTGTCCTTGCTCTCCACGGGTTCCAAATACATCTCACCCTCCTTCTGCCCCTGCCGATGTCCAGCAACTCGTTGGCCCATTCCACACTTCCTTTCTCCCGTGACCACCTGCTAATACACTTAGGAAGGTAGCTGAAGGTGGCCCAAGTACTTGGGCTCCTATCACACATATGGGAGCCCAGGATGGAGTTCTGGGCTCCTGGCCTTAGCCTGGGCCAGATCTGGCCGGAGAGTGAACCAGTAACTGGAGGATCGATCAGTCTCTCTCCCTCTCTCTCTGGGTTTCAAATAAATGAATAAATCTTTTGAAAAATGTATTCCTTCCATTTCATTTCGTAAAAACTGGTGGCTTCTAATACGGCTCTTGTTGTTGGGAAGTACTGCCAAGCGTGTGTGGTGCTTGGAGATGCCTCTGTCCCAAAGCCATGTGATGCAGATACCTCACTAACAGTCACAATGGAAGCAATGCTCCTTGGGTCCCAAGACGTACTCCTTACTCCCTCCGATCCAGATCGATCGTCATGGCCGGAGAAATGCCCCAGATCTGCGAGGGGGTCCTGCCTGGGCTCAGCACTCTGAGGCGGCCCCAGGACAGCCGTTGGTGCAGCTCAGCAGTCTGCTGCAGACATGGGGGCCTCTGGGGGCCCCCGGCTCACTTTCCTTCCTCTTGTCGCCTTTGCTGCCTCCCCATTCCCTAAACATCTGTGTGTCCAGCCCAGATGGCTCCCTCTGAACTACAGAAACCGACATCCACCTGCTGCCCGACCCGCTTCTGCCCCTTCTACTGCCCATGGTTGCCACCCTGGCCAGATCTGGCTGGCTGTGGTGACGGCCATGGTCTCGTCTGCTCCCCTTGCCCCTGGAAAGCCCAGGCCGCTCTCCTAAGCACAGACCCTCCGGGCCTCTCTGCTTTTTTCCCCTCCCACTCAGTTTTGCTCCCAAGGTTGCCAGGTGTCCTTGCTGCACTGCAGGAGGTTGGACATGCTCCTGACCTGGGCCCTGCACCCCCTTCTCCCGGGAACCGCCGTCTGCCACCTCCTTTGTCCATTGGCTCAGTGTCTCTGGCCCCTGCCCCCTTCTCCCGCCGTGGTATTTCCCACGGTCCCATTGCCATCTGTGTTTGCTCACAGTCTCCCCTCCCCATGGGGCTTTTTTGTTAACTAAACAGAGACCACTGCCCCCCCACCCAGGGACTCTCAGACCAGTGAGGGGGAGGAGGCCCCACCCCCACACCCAGGGCTCTGCCTGCCACCTCTTCCCACTGGCCCAGGCAAGCCTGGCCCTGCCTGCCTGCTTCTCCTCCACACCCCAGTTGGGACGAGCAGGCAGCACTGACCTGACGGAAGGTGTACTCAGCCACCTGGTAGAAGAGCTGCAGCAGGGCAGGGTCCCCGCTGTCGCTGTAGCCCATGAGGAAGGCGATCATGGCTTCACTGTGTGGCCACCAGAGCTTCATGGCCCATTCCAGCTGAGAGCAGAGCAGGCGCAGGGGCCTGAGAACCCTGCCTGCTCAGCCCTCTCGGCAGCACCCCCCCCACCGGCCTCTGGCCCCGATTCGGTCCCTGGGTGCTCTCCCACCTGCGTGGGGCAGAGGTTGTCAGCGTCCTGGAAGTAGAAGAGGCCGCCGTGCTCAGGGTCCCATCCAGAACGGAAGGGCAACAAAAGGAACTTGTCAACAACGTGCGCTCGCAGTTCGGGGTCGCCTTTCCGGGCAGCATGCCGGAGCAGGAACCAGCCAGCTTCCAGCGCGTGGCCTGGTGGCGCCAGGGGTAAGAAGGAACCAGCTCAAGGCCCCAACACCGCCTCCTCCCTCCTGAACAGTGGGAGCTGCTCGGAGCCCCTCGCTCGCACCCCTGCTCCCCAGTTCTGGGAGCCTCACCCCTCTTTCTCGGCCCGCTCCTCAGCACAGGGTGGAAGTGGCGAAGGCAGAAGCCAAATGCCGAGGCCACTCTGCTTCCTCACCTGGGTTCTGGTGTCTTCCCAGGCAGCCAGGAAGTTCCTCGCCATCCTCTGACACGTTCTCCAGCACGGCTTGTCCATCCCTCTGCAGGGAACCAGGCGCCAACTGGCAACCACCACCCTCCAGCCCACGGCCCCGCCCACCAGCTCTGGGAGCCTGGGGCCTGCTGGGGCTGCCGGGCTGTCCAGCTGCCCTGGGGGCCGAGCCTCCCCGACTGCAGGGCAGGCGCGGGCACTGGAGGCAGCCCTGTGCATGGGGTTCAGCCCTCTGCCCCCGCCCAGGTCCCCTGGCACCGCCCACCTGGATGTGCTGCAGAATCCTGCGGGCGCACCAGTCCCCCAGCTCCGCGTATCTCCCCGCCAGCTCCTCGTCGGCCTCCCCGAACTGCTCGACCAGGTTGAGCAGCATCATGGGCACTGCCATGGGCTCCGCCGCTGGGGACCCTGGGAGCTGGGGCCGGCCCAGCCCCGATGGGTCCTCCCGCACCCAGCGGATGATCTGATCCATCATCTCCAGGGCCTCACTCTGGGTGGGGCAAGGAGAGGCCCAGCTGAGGCTGCTGTCCCACCTGTCCCGTCCCCAGGTACCTGGTGGGGTCCCGAGGACTCGGCCCTGGGCGGGAAGCCCGTGGTCTCTTGTGCACTCCAAGGACACTTCACCAAGGGGCCTGCTGTGGGTCTGGCTCCTGGGCCGGGTTGGCCCCAGCCTGCTCTGGGGGCTCCCCGTCTGGGGGTGCAGGCAACTCCCAGGCAGTGGCGTCGGGGTCTTATAGCACAGGGAAGAGGGAGAGGTTCCCTGCCAAGTGGGAGCGGGGCACAGCTCTCGGGGCGGGAGTGGGACCTGCATATCCGAGCAGAGTCCCGAGGTGCACCTGGTAATGCACTTCCCCTGTCACCCTCCACAGCTCGTTCATGGCCATCGTGTAGAAACACTCGCTGAAGATGGTCCGCTGCACCTTGACCGGGCGGCCGTCCCGGGTCAGCACAAAGGCACACTTCTTGCCAGGCGGCGCCACTCTGGCATAACGCAGCAAAAATTCGCCACCTGGCAGTTGAGAAGGTGGGGTGCTGGGACTCAGGTGAGGCCCAGAACCTGCTCCCCCACCAGGCACACACGGCTTTTCCCGCCTTCCCAGAGGCCTCTAGGAAGATGGGCAAGGAATGTTGCACCTGCTTTTGCAGAGTCCAGAAGCGCAGAGTGGCGGAAGCGCTGAAACTTGCGGTAGAGGCGACAATACATCCATACCTGCAGGGCAACCAGAGAGCGCGCTCAGGTCTGCGGAGTGTGGCTGAGGTGAGAAGGAGCCCCCGTGGCCCTACTGTGCGCGCTGAGGCAAGAGAGGCGCAAGTGCGTCAGGGAACGCCCCTTACCTGCCTCCCCTGCAGCCAAACATATTTGAGGTCGTCGTACACCCGCCCATCACGGCCGAGGCACGTGAAGAAGCCCCTGTGGGATGCACAGGGGTAGCA